GAAGACAACACCAATCTTTTCTTGCATTCTTGAAAATCAGGAAGGAGGTCTGTAGTTTGCAACAATTCATTCTAAAGCCCTTGCCTTCTCCAGTCTACCTTCTTCCCAGCCTCTTTTGTTCTCTAGTGTAGTCCTCTTTGTAATTTCCTCAACTTTCAGCAACCTCCCTCCTCCCATCTAGCTATAATTTTATTATATAGACCAGCTAAGCGCTCTTTCCAGTAAAAAGATCTAACCAACTTCCCCAATCCTGCCCCAAATGATCTGAAAGATGAAGCATTTTAGAAGGAGGTTAAATTGTGCTGGAAATTATAGAATACTCTGGCAGATTGGGAGAGGGAGAAGTATGAATTTTCTTGTCCTATCCTTGGTATTTTGCAAATAGAGAACTGCCACTCTTAAGACATAAGCCCGTTTCTTTTCTTGAATATTTCTATTGCTTGGCTAGTTTCTCCTTGGAAAATGCATACTTCTTTCTGCACTGGACCCAGAAAGAGGTGTCATTGTATGTGAGCAAACATCTATCATCTGTCCCAACAAAATCCATAAAGTACTGTGACGGGAGCTGGTGACCGGTGACCCAGAACATCTAGCTGAGTCCCCTGTGTCAAGACTCCTGGCCCTGCCACACAGGATGGTGCATGCCTATAATCCCAGTGGCTTAGAAGGCTGAGGCAGGAGGATCACAAGTTTGAGGCCAACGTCAGCAATTTAGTGAGACTAGGTAAAAGCACCCACGATACAGCCTTGGCAATTTATCGAGACCCTGTCTCAAAATTTTAAAAATAAAATAAAATAATAAGTGATGGAGATGTGGATGTGGCTCAGTGGTAAAGTGCCCCTGGGCTCAATCCCCAATACAAAAAAAAAAAAAAAAAGATTCTTGGCTTTAACTTCAATAAGATCTTTCTGAAAAAGCAGGCTGACTTTGGATGGTACAGCCACCTACCGGACTAGAATGACCCTGAAGACAATGCTTCTTGGCTAAATCAGAGCTGCCTTGTATGGTGCAGTGGCAGCTGCTGGGCAAATTCATGAATCTGTCCAGAAGACCCGATCCCTGAGAGTGGGCAGCCAGCCCAGCAGGACCTCAGCCTTCATAGCTGGCTCGTGAGGCCCCAAAGGACAGAGTCCCACACTACTAGTCTGACCCCTTGAGGTTGCTCAAGACTCAAGAATTTTGAAAAGATCCTGTGAACTTCACCATTCCCACTCCACCCCTCGGCCCCTCCCTGTGACCAAGGGGTCACGTGTGAGCAGCTCCAAGTTGGTGGTGAGCAAGGCCTGTGGAGACCAGCCTCAATTCTGCCCTCTTTTTAAAAATATTTTGGACCTAAGGGAGGCTGTCCTTAGTTGTTTCAAATCTGTTTGAGACTGCTACTCCTGCCCCTTCAAACCTCTTTTCAAAACTCATGGAAATGAACCTTTTACAGACAAACTAGTGACAACTCCATTCAGCCAGATACAAGGAGAGAAAATGACTAAACAGGACCTCAATCCCAGAGGCCTATAAAAAGTCTGATGCCTTTTTGCTAGCTGTGGAATCTTTTACAATTTTTAAAAATTTATTTATTTAGCTTTGGAATCATAGAGTTTTATATTAGCATTATATCCTTAATGTGAATAGAACAGGCACATGGCAACAGTGAAAAACCACATGCGAAATCCAAATTCAAACTTTTCTCATGACCTTTTTCCTCCCTCTCCTTCTTTTTTTTCTTTCTTCTTTTTTTTTTTTTTTTTTGTACCTGGGATTGAACTCAGGGTCACTCTACCATTGAGCCATACCCCCCAGCCCTTTTTGTATTTTATTTAGAGACAAGGTCTCACTGAGTTGCTTAGTGCCCAGCTCAGTTGCTGAGGCTGGCTTTGAACTCTCAATCCTCCTGCCTCAGCCTCCCAAGCTGCTGGGATTATAGGTATGTGCACCGTGCCAGGCTCTCATTACTTTTTTCTAAATTCAGTCAAGACAACACAACATGAACACACACACGTACAAATAAATATATGTTTATAATATCATAAATATATTTACATTTTATATATATATATATATATATATACATACACAAAAAAAAAACATATAATAAATATATATAAAACAATGTCTTTTCAAGAATATAAATGACACAGGTAAAATCCTGAACTTCGTTCATTCCCTCTGGGGCACTGGTCCACATCAGGTTCTCCATTATGAGATACTTATGTCATCTGTGTGCAGCTTCTTGCATTGTGGTCTTCTGGGCAGCACAGGACTGGTCTTGGTGGCTGTCCCCTGTCTGTGCCTCTGCGCTTTTCTCCCTGCCTTTGGCCACCAGATGGCATTCTGGAAACACTGTCACCACTGGAGTTTTCTGCATCCAAGTTCCCCTGCAGCATTCTCAGGGAGCCTCCCTCCCTCCTCGCTGCTCCCTTCCAACCCACTTTCCAAAGTGCTATAGAAGCGGCTTTCCAGAAGGCAAAACTGCATGACCCTGAACAAGTTGCCTAACCCTGTGCTCAGCCTCTTCCACCTGACGGCTTGGTTGTGAGGCTGGCATGAGAGGACATAGGTAAAGCACCCAGGACCCAGCCTGGCATATTGCTGCTGTTCTCATTATCCTGCTTTGAGCCTTCCAGCAGCTCCCCATGGCCTGTAGCACAAGTTTCAAATCTTTACCATGGGACCCTAAGTCTCCATCATCTGATGACCTGTGTCTGTATCCCCAGCTCCACCTTCTCTCCTCTCTACCACATGGACCCTACTGCGGTACACAGGAGCCAGTTGGCCCCTTGGGGCCTTTACCCATCCAGTTCCCTCTGCCTGCTCTGCCTCTCCCCTGCCCACCCACCTTTCTCTGGCCAACTCCTCCATGTCCACCAGGAGTCAGCAAGCACTCTCCATGACCACCAGGCCCCAACCCAGAGCCATTGTACCAGCCTTCTTCCATTCCCCACCACCAGCACCTTAGACCATAAGCCCCTTGGGGGTTGCTTATCTTGCTCACTGGCTGGCACACAATGGGATGAATGCAGGCCAGACAGCAAGGCCATTCAGTGGTCTCATTGTCAGTAGATGACCCACTGTGTCCCTGATCTCTGAAGGGCCACTTGACTCCCCTTTAGTGCCGGGAGCTTGCCCAGGCCAAACTGAGAGAGACTTGGGAAACAGGATTCCTGGCCAAGGAAACAAGGAAAAAAGTGAAAGGGCAAATGTAAGGCCACCTTCACTATTTGCATAGGAGGCATAAAACCTGGGAGATGACAAAAGGTAAAGTCATAGTCCACACACACTGTGTGCCAGCCCTGTGCTGAGCTCTTCATGTGTATGGTCTTCTTAATCCTTACCATCAACTCACGAGATGGGTGACAGTCACACACTCTCAGAGAAGGAGATGAACCAAGTTTTCTGAGAGGTCACCTATGCAGTGTCTCAGAGCTTACAAGGGCCTATCAGTCCATGTCATGCCATAGGAAATGACCCCATGGATTCAGGACCCCTGCAATGATGAATGAGTTTTAGTGAGATGATGGGGAAGCCTTCAGGAGTGGATACAGGATGAAAGGAAAGAAAAACCAGGGAAAGGGAGGGAGTGTAGATGGCTGTCCCTCAGCCACCCAGTTCTGATAGCCATGGGCCTCCATGCTGACAAACCAACAAGCCCTGGCTTCTATCACTGTCGAAATGGGGCATCTCTGGCTCCAAGGACTTAGTTGCAAACATCTATCTAGTGGGCACTGGCCTTAAGTCACATCACTTCAAATGGAATCAATCTTTTTTTTTTTTTTTGTATCCTTTTTTTAAAAAATTTTTTATTGTTGGTTGTTCAAAACATTACATAGTTCTTGATATATCATATTTCACACTTTGATTCAAGTGGGTTATGAACTCCCATTTTTACCCCATATACAGATTGCAGAATCACATCAGTTACACATCCATTGATTTACAAATTGCCATAATAGTGTCTGTTGTGTTCTGCTGCCTTTCCTATCCTCTACTATCCCCCCTCCCCTCCCCTCCCCTCTTCTCTCTCTACCCCCTCTACTGTCATTCATTTCTCCCCCTTGTATTATTTTTCCCTTTCCCCTCACTTCCTCTTGTATGTACTTTTGTATAACCCTGAGGGTCTCCTTCCATTTCCATGCAATTTCCCTTCTCTCTCCCTTTCCCTCCCACCTCTCATCCCTGTTTAATGTTAATCTTCTTCTCCTGCTCTTCGTCCCTACTCTCTTCTTAGTTACTCTCCTTATATCAAAGAAGACATTTGGCATTTGTTTTTTAGGGATTGGCTAGCTTCACTTAGCATAATCTGCTCTAATGCCATCCATTTCCCTGCAAATTCTATGATTTTGTCATTTTTTAATGCAGAGTAATACTCCATTGTGTATAAATGCCACATTTTTTTTATCCATTCGTCTATTGAAGGGCATCTAGGTTGGTTCCACAGTCTTGCTATTGTGAATTGAGCTGCTATGAACATCGATGTAGCAGTGTCCCTGTAGCATGCTCTTTTTAGGTTTTTAGGGAATAGACCGAGAAGGGGAATAGCTGGGTCAAATGGTGGCTCCATTCCCAGCTTTCCAAGAAATCTCCATACTGCTTTCCAAATTGGCTGGAATCAATCTTGAGGTAGGGTGTAAGGCTAGGAGAATATTAGGGACAACCTATTGAGTGAGAAGTTAATAAGCCCATACCAAGGGCCACCCAAGCAAACTGCTCACTTCTTTCTTTTTGTGCCTCACCTCTTGAGGTGAATGGGATAGAGGACACCTCTTAACGTGTCTAGAGGCCATTGGGGGCAGAATGGAGTTGTTGTTTATGGGACTTTGTCATAAACAGAAAGGGGGAGAGAAGAATAGGAGGAAGGGAGGGAAAGACCCACATGAAAGGGAGAGGAAGGTGTGGGAGAGGGAGACATAAAAGTCTGAGACAGGGAACGGAGGCTGGGGGTTCCCCAGACAGGGACTTAGGCTGGACCAGATGCAGAGAACAATGGACCACAAGGATGGGGCCGGAAGGGAAGGGGGCGGAAAGTTACACAGTAAGGGCACACAGGTCCTCAGGGCTTCAGGAGCCAAAGCTATGGGAGTCCTCAAAGGTCAGTGTGAGCAAGGACAAGGGCCAGGGCAAGAGCCAGAGGCAGCCACAGAGTGAGACAAGTTGTGCAGATTACAACCTTCTCCTCAGCAATAACTTGCTTGTCATGGCTTGTGATTTAGGGACAGACCCAGGCCTAGGCCTTCATATATCATTTCATTTGAGCCTCACAATTTCCTGCTCAGAGGGCTCCTCTTCTTATCCCCATTCCCACTCCAAAGCCCAGAGAGTTTAAATGACTTGTCCCAGATGATCTAGCCGGTAAGTTGCAAAGTTCATACTTGAACTGTTTAGTTCTGATGGCTGCCCTGTGCATCACAGTTGCATCCTTGTGAGACACACATGAGAGACCGGGGCTGGTTCAAGAATGAGAAGTAAACAAGTGTAGGAAAAAGACAGAAGCGGAAGGAGGAATGATGCGGAAGGAGGAATGAGGGGAATGAGGAACGGAGGAGAGACAGTGAGCATGACCTATCCAGGAGGGGCATCAGTCTGGAGGCAGCAGGCGGGGCTCAAGTTCTCTGCTCACAGGCCCCCTGACCCTCAGCAGGGCTCGCCGTCTTGCTGTGCGGACAGCATCTTCCCATCCGGCCTGTCCCTGGGAGCCCCGGCCTCATCCTCCTCAGTGGCAGGCCACTCAGCTTCACAGGAAATGCTCTTTCTCTAATTGGCATTGAAATCCACAGCCCTCCCTTTTCCTGTAGGTGGGGTTTCCATAGGAAAAAGCTGCTTCTCTGTTTCCCTAGCCTAGTTACTGTTTGGAAGTCTGCTCCCCACATCCTGCTTTACTGGGTCAAGTCCCTCTTAGAGCACTCTTGTCCATGGTTGCTGAAGTGGACCAACTGCTACTGCTGTGGGCTCTCCCTTGGCAATTTTACTTCATCTGTGCTTGGACCTCGCAGACTGCTTCCAATGAAAATGACCTTGCCTGAAAATCCTGCTTGTTCCATCGTCTTCTAATTATGGGACAAGGCTGTGCCAGCACATCTTGGGGCAGGAGAACGGGGCTCATCGAGCCACCCAGAAAACACTGGAGGACCTGTCCAGCCTTTGAAGAGCTCTAGCGGCCTCTGACCCTAGCCCACTCTGGGGGTAAGCATGATGCCACTTCTGCAACTTCTGCTGGGGCTTTTCGGGCCAGGTGGCTACTTGTTCCTTTCAGGGGATTGTCAGGAGGTAGCCACTCTCACAGTGAAATACCAAGTGACAGAGGAGGTGCCGCCTGGTACAGTGATAGGGAAGCTGTCCCAGGAACTGGGCCGGGAGGAGAGGCATGGGCAGACAGGGGCTGCCTTCCAGGTCTTGCAACTGCCCCAGGCGCTCCCCATTCAGGTGGATGCTGAGGATGGCTTGCTCAGCACTGGGAGGCGGCTAGATCGAGAGCAGTTGTGCCGGCAGCGAGATCCCTGCCTGGTTTCCTTTGATGTGTTTGCCACAGGGGATCTAACTCTGATCCACGTGGAGATCCAAGTGCTGGACATCAATGACCACCAGCCACAGTTTCCCAAAGGAGAGCAGGAGCTGGAAATCTCTGAGAGTGCCTCTCTGCACACACGAATCCCCCTGGACAGAGCTCTTGACCCAGACACTGGCCCTAACACGCTGTACTCTTATACTCTGTCTCCCAGTGAGCACTTTGCCCTGGATGTCATCATGGGGCCTGATGAGACCAAACATGCCGAACTTGTGGTGGTGAAGGAGCTTGACCGGGAAGTCCACTCGTTTTTTGATCTGGTTTTAACTGCCTATGACAGTGGGAACCCTCCCAAGTCAGGCACCAGCTTAGTCAAGGTCAATGTCCTAGACTCCAATGACAATAGCCCTGTTTTTGCCGAGAGTTCACTGGCATTAGAAATCCGTGAAGATGCTGCCCCTGGCACCCTCCTCATAAACCTGACTGCCACGGACCCTGACCAAGGCCCCAATGGGGAGGTAGAGTTCTTCCTCGGCAAGCATGTACCTCTAGAGGTATTACACACCTTCAGTGTCGATGCCAAGACAGGCCAGGTCATTCTGCGCCGACCCCTGGACTATGAGAAGAATCCTGCCTATGAGGTGGATGTCCAGGCAAGGGACCTGGGTCCAAATCCCATCCCAGCCCACTGCAAAGTTCTTATTAAGGTCCTGGATGTCAATGACAATGCTCCCAGCATCCACATCACGTGGGCCTCGCAGCCATCTCTGGTGTCAGAAGCTCTTCCCAAGGACAGTTTCATTGCTCTTGTCATGGCAGATGACTTAGACTCAGGAAACAATGGCCTGGTCCACTGTTGGCTGAATCAAGAGCTGGGCCACTTCAGACTGAAAAGGACTAATGGCAACACATATATGCTGCTAACCAATGCCACTCTAGACAGGGAGCAGTGGCCCAGATATACCCTTACTCTGTTAGCACAGGACCAAGGACCCCAGCCCTTGTCTACCAAAACACAGCTCAGCATTCAGATCAGTGATGCCAACGACAACGCACCTGTATTTGAGAAGAGCCGGTACGAGGTCTCCACTCGGGAGAACAACCTGCCCTCCCTTCACCTCATCACCATCAAGGCTCATGACGCAGACTTGGGCAGTAATGGGAAAATCTCATACCGCATCCAGGACTCCCCAGTTTCTCACTTAGTTGCTATTGACTCAGACACTGGAGAGGTCACTGCTCAGAGGTCACTGGACTATGAAGAGATGGCTGGCTTTGAATTCCAGGTGATAGCAGAGGACAGAGGCCAACCCAAGCTTGCATCCAGCATCTCTGTGTGGGTCAGCCTCTTGGATGCCAACGATAATGCCCCGGAAGTGATTCAGCCTGTGCTCAGCAATGGAAAAGCCAGCCTCTCGGTGCTTGTAAATGCCTCCACAGGCCACCTTCTGGTGCCCATCGAGACTCCCAGAGGTTTGGGTCCAGCAGGTGCTGGCTTACCACCTCTGGCCACTCCCAGCTCCCAGCCATTTCTTTTGGCAACCATTGTGGCAAGAGATGCAGACTCCGGGGCGAATGGAGAGCTCCTCTACAGCATCCGAAGTGGAAATGAAGCCCATCTCTTTGTCCTCAGCCCTAATCTGGGGCATCTATTCATCAATGTCACTAATGCCAGCAGCCTCATTGGGAGCGAGTGGGAGCTGGAGATACTGGTAGAAGACCATGGCAGTCCCCCCTTGCAGACCCGAGCCCTGTTGAAGGTCATGTTTGTCACCAGTGTGGACCACCTAAGGGACTCTGCCCATGAGCCGGGGGTCCTGAGCACATCGGTACTGACTGTGATTTGCCTGACTGTATTACTAGCCATCTTCGGGTCGATCTTGGCTCTGTTTGTGTCCATCTGCCGAACAGAGAAGAAGGACAACAGGGCCTACAACTGTCGGGAAGCTGAGTCCACTTATCGCCACCAGCCCAAGAGGCCCCAGAAACACATTCAGAAGGCGGACATCCACCTGGTGCCCGTGCTCAGGGGCCAGGCAGATGACTCTGGTGAAGTCGAGCAGTCCCACAAGGACACAGGCAAGGAAGCAATGATGGAAGCAGGCTGGGACCCCTGCCTACAGGCCCCCTTTCACCTCACACCAACCTTGTACAGGACCCTGCGTAACCAAGGCAACAAGGGGGCACTGGCAGAGAGCCAAGAGGTGCTGCCGGATACTGTCAGTCTCCTTTTCAACCATCCCAGGCAGAGGAACGCCTCCCGGGAGAACCTGAACCTTCCTGAGTCCCCGTCTACCCCAGGCCAGCCACGTGCCAGGCCTCTGAAGGTTGCAGGCAGCCCCATGGGGAGGCTGGCTGGAGACCAGGGCAGCGAGGGGACCCCGCTGAGCCCACCCACCTCCTCTGCAACCCTGAGGCGGCAGCGGAATCTCAATGGCAAAGTGTCCCCTGAGAAAGAATCAGGCCCCCATCAGATTCTGCGGAGCCTGGTCCGATTATCTGTGGCTGCTTTTGCAGAGAGGAATCCCGTGGAGGAGCTCACTGTGGATTCTCCTCCTGTTCAGGTACCTCGGGCATGGGCAGCTCTTTCTTTGGTCACCCTTGGACCACTACAAACAGCATCAGATGTCCCCATTTCCCTCCCGTTCCTCACATTCACTCCTTAGCTCACTTAGCACTTTATGATGCTTTCTTTAAGCAGCCATAGTTCAGGGAAGAGCTCTGGGGCCAACAGATCTTTGCTGTGTGATCCTGGCCAAGTTACTTACTGTCTCTGAGCCTTAGTTTCCTTAATGATAAAATAGGAATGATAGTAAGAATATCTGCCTTGTAGAGTCATCCTGAGGATTTGATCAGTTAATTCTTATCGGGTGCCTATTCACAGTGCCTGGCATAAGCAGACACATAGCAAAGATAGTGAATATGAGTACAGGCTTCAGAGCAAACTTGTCTGGGTTCCAATCCTGGCTCTGCCTCATCCCAGCTGTGACCCACAGAGAAGTGACTCAATTTCTAACTGTTAAAGATGTCAATGTTAATAGCACCCATCTCCCAAGTTTGCTTAAGGATAAAGTGAGTCAATGCACTTAGTGCTTGTAGAACGTATCTAGCATGTACTTGGTGCTCAGCAAACGATTACTATTACTTCTGCAAAGCATTTTATCTCTGCTTTCCTCTTTCCCTCATCTCATCTGGGCAACCTCCCTAGGAAGTAAGCTAGCCTGTCATTGTCTCTGGGTTCAGGGGCTGCATTTGACTTGCCTGAGACCCCAAAACTTACTAGCTGAACCTGAAGAATGAAGCAGAGGAAACCACCTTAGAATCTTGGAGTTAGGTGAGTTAAATTTCAACATGGCCACTTAGGACCTGAGCAACCTTGAGCAAGTCACATCTTTCACAACTGAGCCTCATTTTCTTCATCTGTAAAATGGGAGTCCAACACCGAACTTGCCCTGTTCTATTCTCAGGAGGGTGAGTTGAAGTGGAATGATACCAAGCTGTCTAGTGACCGAGGATTTACTGCGTATGTGTGGAATCGTCACAGGAATGGTGCCTGATCTCACCCCTGTCTGCTCCTCTGTACTCCAGGGAGTTTTCACTGTGCCAGGCTGCCTGCCCCAGGCACGCTTCTGTGTGACCAGGCCATCAGCTCAGGTTTCCTGTGGAGCAAGGACACAGCTTCCTTCCCCCACCCCTTTCCCAGGAAGCCACCTGGAGATGGCCTGGCTGTTTTCTTAGGAATCTTGTTGTGGGTTCTTTGCAGACCCAGAGTTTGCCCAGAGCCATCTACTCATCCATCCATCCATCCATCCATGCACCACTTTTTGAATGAACTCTTTGTGCCAAACACTGTGCTGTCCGCTGGCAGAGAGCAGGCACTATGGGTGACCCCACTGGTAAGATGGAGGAGTCCCTATTTGGAATCAACCTAAGGGTAAGCGAGTAAGGTACCAGTGCTCATGTCTTTCCAGGAGCACAGCACCACAGTGGAGTCAAGTCTGAGCTCAAGTTTCAGTCTAGAAATTTAAGCATAATGATATCTGCTCCTTGGACTATTGTAAGGATTAAATGAGATTATATGCTATTGTGGGGGTCTATTAATATGTGATTTAAATACCTTGGCTCATTTAAACTTCATAATCACCACATGACCTCCATCTTATTTTTATTTACCCTTTCACTATTGAGGAAACTGAGGCTCAGGATGGTTAAGTAATTCCTCAAGGCCATAAAGATGAGAATTAGGGCAGGAACAGCTTTAGAGTGTGAGTCTGGGCTGTAACTGTGAAGTGGCCCTGAATGACAGAACTTAGCACAGGGCTTGGCATACAGGGAGTGTTTGCCAAATGCCATTTGGGCAAAGGGTACAGGTGCCTTACCAGGGCTTTTGGGCCTGAGCAAGGAGGTGGGATCTGCCTGAGGAAGCATTGGCACCCTGATCCTCCAAAGTCACAGTGAAATCCCAGTCCTGGCCACCCCTTCTTCCAACATTCCTCTGAGGTTGGCACTTCTGGGCCTTTCCAGGGAGGAGTGGGGGTGAACCCAGAGACAGAAGCAGCATTTCTAGGAGTAACAACGCAAACTTCTTGCATTTGCATAGGACTTTTAAGTTTTCCAAACCTTCTAATTAATTCTGACAGCTCTTTGAAGAAGGTTGGCCCCGCTTTAGAGATCAGAGATGAGAAACTGAGGTCTGAGTAGGTCAAAAAATCTGCCTGATACAGTGCAACAAGCTAGCAATGATCTTGAACTAGAACTCAGTCTCCCAAGACTCTCCCTCCCATGGCCCTGACATTTCACCCACCTGCTGCCCCCTTTTCCAGCCTTTCTGAAACTCTACCATCTTTTTGGCCTTTTGGCTTACAGTGCTCCCGCTTGAAACCTGCCTTGCCCAGACCCTCACACTCTTTCCACATGGTGAACTCCTGCAGAGACTCTGGGTCTCAGCAGAGCTGTCTGGAATGCGATAGGAACTCAACGTTTGTTGAAAAATAATAAACTTCCCCCAGTACCACCTCCCTATGTCTTCCCTGTTCCAAGTTGGGTGGGGGCCTCCCCCTGCTCCTGCAGTCTCCCATCCTTTCCCAGCCATGCAGCCCCCTCTCAGAGCCCTCTTCCTACCTTCCTGACAGACTGTGAGTCCCAAGGGCAGCAGAGTCTCCTTGTTCTTATTCCATAGCAGGCCCTGTGCCTGGCATGAGCAAGTGATTATTAAAGACTGGTTCAGAGAATGAAAGAGTGAAGAAATGAATGATTAAATGCTATCATTTTTGTCTTCTCTACAATGCAGTCTTACATCTGGCCCACACAAATTGGCCAGAGTGTTAGAATACTGCTAAAAAGGGAAAATAACACTTGAAGACAATCCATATCAAATAATGACTTTATGATCAGGAAATGACTATTTCACCCCATCCCACGGAGTCCACGAGGAGAGGGGCATTTGGAAGAATGATGGGGAGAGGATGAGCCTGGAGGGTCCCCACGCTCTCCCTTATATACTCAAAGCAGAGAGCTGCCCCCCTCCCAACAGGTCCCTGTCTCCGTCACAAGGGACCATCCCCCATTTGATCACACAAACATCTGAAGCCAGAGGAAAAACTATAAAAAGAAAGCACCGGCATTGAGGGAAACATCCGGCAAGGAAGTGTGCTGGGTTGGAATTGTGTGGAGTCAACAGATTTTTCCTGTCTTGTAGCAAATCTCCCAGCTGCTGTCCTTACTGCATCAGGGCCAATTCCAGCCCAAACCAAACCACCGGGGAAATAAGTACTTGGCCAAGCCCGGCAGCGGCAGGTAAGCAGCACGTAGACCCCACGGACTTCCCAAGGTCCCCCCTGACTGCCCCTCACCCCTGCAGCCTCAGTGAGGTGAGAGGATGAGCACATCCTTGACACTCTGGGTGAGTGATGCAGACAGCATCCACCCCCACTCCGGGGGACCATGTCCTGGGACTGTTGTATTTATAGTATTTACAGGACCCAGAGTCACTAAGGAAATGACTTCATTCTGACCTCTGATTATCTGTCCCTGATGATAGAGGTGCTGTAAATCGGCTTTAAATCTATAACTTTCACCTTTTTTTCTCTCTCTTGGCCCATAAACATGATATGGAAGGCCATAGATGTATGGGTGTGCCCCTTTGGGCAATCCTAGAGTTGAAGAGAACTCAGGAGGACATTGAGCAGCTGAGTGTGATGGTATACAGTCATCCCAGGTATTTGGGAGGCTGAGGCAGGAAAATGGCAAGTTCAAGGCCAGCATGGGCAATCCTGTCTCAAAATAAAAATGAAAAAAAAAAAAAAGGCAAAAAAGGGGCTGGGGTTGTGGCTCAGTGGTAGAGTGCTCACCTACCATGCATGAGGCACTGGGTTCCATCCTCAGCATCACATAGAAATAAAGTATAGATACTGTGTTCACCTAAAACTAAAAAATAAATATTATTTTTTTTAAAAAAAAGGAAAAAGAAGACATCTAACCCAATTCCTGGGGAAACTGAGGCTCTCAGTAGTTTGATCCAATTTAGCTATATGAAAACTTGAGCAAATAAGATAATCCCTCAGGACCTCGGTTTCCCTATCTGGAAAATGGGGGCCATACTACTTCCCTTGTAGTGATGGAGTAAACACTTAAGGATCAAATGTATTCTAAGTTCATAGCCCAATGCCTGGCATTGCACAAGCAGTGCAAAGTCCCTTCCCCTTAAAATGGCTTTGCTCAAGGTCATGTAGCAAGTGAATGGCAAAGTTGGGCCCAGCTCTCAGGGATCCTGATTGGATCCATGCTCTTGCCCTGATAACTTGTAAATTCTTTTTGCAAGGATGGTAAGAGAGTAGAACAAGAGGAAAGTTCAGATTTTCTCTCTGAAGTTTCAATATTCAAGTCTGCTGCAATAAACTGGCAATAGACAAGATTAACAGGAGGAAAGCCATAACAAATTTTTTGATCATAGTTTACCATGACACAGGAGACTGGGATGGAAGACCCAAAGACCCAGGGTGAACTACCTGCTCAAGTTTGATAAAGCAGAGACAGCTGTGAGAAATATGAGTGGCCAAAAGGGTCTGAGCTGATGGGAATCACTGAGGGGAAAACCCAGAGAGGCCTGTCTGTTCAGATTCTTCTCGGCCTCTCTATGCATCATTCTTTCCTTCCAGGTATGGGGGCAGGACCCTTTCTGGAATGGGGGTCTCATAACCTATAATTAAACAAGGTAGATCAGAGAATGTCTTCATGGCTAACTCTTACACAGAAAGGTGGAGGGAAATAAGAGTAATATTTGGGGGTTTTATGGCTAGCTTGAGGGAAAAGAGGCTCTGGTTTCTATGACCCACCTTGGGAAAGAGGAATTCTAGTTTCTCTGGCTTGCCTCAGGTGAAAATGAGAGGTGAGAGACAGGGAGGGTCAGAGAGATACTGCTTCTGAGGCCTTCCCTAACAGGCTCTAACTGTACACGCATTCCAGAATCACATCAGTCTGCATTTGAATTCTTGCTTCATTGCTTAATCCATGGGGATGTCGAGCAAGCTGAAAAATCTTCACAAGTCTTGGTTTTTCTCATATGTAAAATGGGAATGAATAAAAGAGAACCCTTAAGGGTGTGAAAGGCTTGAATGAGAAGGTGCATGTACCTTGCACAGGATGAGGCCTAACTCAGTCATTGCTCAATCAATACCAGTGATCATTATTACCCACAAACTGGCCACCTCCCCACTGATCTCTTAATAGCAGCTAAAATGGCCATTAGAGGGGTGATGAACAACTACCAGTAAGGATTCTTAGGCTTTACAGCCTCAGGGAGCCCTCTCACCTGTTGGGATGAGGGTCCTATTAGAGGGAGGGTGGGTTCATGAGGTACCGGGACCAGGGTAAGCCAGCAGGAGACTGGGGTGCAGATGGTAGATTTCAGCAGCTTGAAGACACCCAATCTCAGCTCTATCCTCCATAGACCTGCTCCTCTGCTCTAAGATTTGGCTTAAATAGGGAGGAAGGACCATTCAAAAAAACGCTTTATTAAGCACCTACTGTGTGCCAGGCCCTGTTCTGGGCACTGGTGAGAGAACAGGGAATGAGACAGAAAAATATCACTACCTGGCTAACGATGGGTGGGTTGATTACCTCAGCTCAAGAAGTTTACTAAGCTCCTGATCTGTGCCACACAGGATAAAGGCATGGGAGGGACAAGGGTGAGTGATGACACGAATAAATTCATGTTCACTTCTGTTTGCTGGGTGCTTGCTGTTGCCAGGCACTACACTAAGCCCTTTACCTCCAACACCTCATTTGACAACACCCCATGAGGCGGGTGTTGCTTACTACGGTTATTTAACAGATGAGGAAACAGAGGAAGTAAGGGCAGGGATCCCAGAATCCAGGCTGGTCCGCCTCTGAAGGCCAGGCTGTGGATCCGGTTCCCCGTGAAGATGAATAAATACTGGCATGAATGAGCAAAGCTGTGTGAGAATTTCCTCACTTGCAGACTGGTTGGTTTCCTTTGCAGGAGTGCAATCCCAGACACAGATGGCTCAGGTGCCAGGGCTGGTGGCCAGGCAGAACCAGACCAGGAGGAAGGGCCCTTAGATCCTGAAGAGGACCTCTCTGTGAAGCGGCTGCTTGAAGAAGAGCTGTCAAGCCTGCTGGATCCCCACACAGGTAGGGACTGCCCAGGGTCACACCAATGCTGCCTCTGCCCTCTGGTCCCTTCAAGCTTCGGAGCTCTCCTCCAATCTACTAAGTTCTGGAAACATCCATTCTATTTCTGGGGAAGAACATCACCAACCTTGTACTTCCCCTGGAGCCTCAGAAAGTATTCCTGAGTTTAACAACTGCCTATTAATTGTAAAAATCATTGAAAATAGTGGCGATTACTGAGCTCTTGGTGTGTGCCAGCACTGAGGTGGTACCATCTACACATATCTCATTTAAACCTTCAAATAATCTCTCAAAATAGATTTTATTAGCTCCATTTTACAGAGGAGCAGCTGAGGCTCAGAAAGAGATAATAGCCTACCCAGGGTCACCAAGCTCCTTAGCAATTGAAGGGGAGCCTAAACCTGGGCCATTCTTAATTCCTAAAGCACACATTTGCATTTCTTTGTTGTGTTTAAATACCCTTTCACCCTGGGAACTGAGCCAACTCTCTAAGTGCTTACACTACTAATTGAAACAAAAAGAATTCTGGGGGGTAGTCAAACAAGTAGTTTTAACAAAAAATGCATAGTGTGAAATTTAATTCAAGGATCTGCTAGGTGCCCCAACCCCTGCTGTGTAAACTGATCAGGCTTCTTTAGGTAACTCAGTGTGGGCCTGCCCATCCCCACACTGTAGTTAACAATTTCTCACATGCGCCATCTGGTACAAACATGCAGAAGGCATGACAGGGGATGGCCCTTTCCTTGGTTAAGAAAATAAAGCCAACATTTACTGAGTAAGTTTTACAGCTAGTCCCTAAGCTCCTCATGAGGGACTCTTAAGAGAGAGGGGCTATTCATTATCCCCATTTCATAAAGAAAAAAAATGGAGGGTCAAGGGCGTGCAGCTAATGGTTATTAACACAGGCTGTGTAGCATGCCTCTAAATTTTTGAGCTGTGCTGTTCAGTGTGACAGCCACTGGCCACATGTGGCTATTTAAATCTAAATGAATTAAAATTAAATAAAATGAAATATTCAGTTCCTCAGTCATCCCAGCCACATTTTAAGTGCTCCATACCCACAGAGGATTAGCAGTTAAGCTTTGAATTCTATCTCCATTGGCCAGCTCTGGGACTCTCACCACAGCAGAGAAGGCACTGGGTGCCAGGACAGGAAGTGGGGGATAGGAAGTAAGGGTGGGGGGGGACAGGAAAGCCTTCACTGTTCATAGGGCTGGACTGCCCTGAGGCTCCTGATGAAGGTGCCTGAGACTGGAGTCTTGGTGATATTTAGATAAAAGCTCCACTTGAGGATGTGACAATGACAAAATTTTACAGGTTGCATGAGCTAACTGGATTCTCACAATAATGAAAGTTACTTTCTCGCCATTTGTAAAGAGGGAAAGGAGGATCATAGAGGTTGAGCCATTTTCCCAAGGTCACACTGCCCTGAAGTGGCAAAGCGAACATTAAACCAGGTGAGACCAGTGCCTACCTGCAGCTGGAACTGGAGGATGATACTGAGTGAATACTCCACTTTTCAGTTGTTCTCAAATGCCCAATGATTTCTCATTTTCTTATGATGCTGAACCTTGTAAAAAGAAAGGCCTGATTTTTTTACCACTAAGAGCTCCATCCAACCTGACAGCCTCAGAGTCTCAGGCAACAAGGGTCAAATGTCCTGAGTCAGTGTTTATGTTCACTAATACTTCAACAGACTGTCACTGTCCCAGGCATGGGGCCAGACCCCAGGATCCAGTAGGGCAGGGACCCAATCCTATCTCACAGTCTGCACAGACCAAAACCAAATGCAAGACAGAGTCATTTATCAATATGAAAAATGATTAGCTGTACTTTGGAATAACATTTTCAAATTACAAAAGTAGTATTTGGTTAATGTAGAAAATACAGATACACAAAAAGAGAATAAATACTTCTACCCAAGGTTAATTTTGGCTAACAATTTGACCTATCTCCTTTTCCAATTTTTTTTATTTTTGCACAAATTTTAAAGCAGCTCACCTGATGCAAACATTAAATAAATGTTAAAGTAGATGTGTGTCCTTCCAGACACTGTTTCTTAACCATAAGACTTATGCTTTCTTTCCTCTGGTTTGGCATATGCCATCAGGTCTGTAACTAGTTTTTTGAGACAAGATTTTCTGTTGAAGAAATGGGGAAAGAAGAATGATGGTGTTATCAGGAGTCTCAGGGATAAACTTTGAATTCCCAGACTGCCTTATCACTGCCCCTGACATGGTCCCTTTCCTGGGATGGTCCTCAGCTAGGCAGCCTCTTTCCAGCCTGACTCTGGGCCAGGGGTTCCTGCAGCTTGAGAGGTGAAGGTGTGAGGAGAAGGTCAAGGTACAGGGCCAGGTGGTGACAGTGCAGCCCTGGGCAGGCCTGGGAATTTTAGAGGAGGGCACCTGGAGCATCTAGGGAGAGGAAGGGCCTGCTCTTCAGAGGGAGCACACAGGGTGTTGCAATCCCAGGGGCTTCAGAGTCATTGGACCTGAAGTCAAATCTGGGTTTGGTGGCTTAGCAGATGTGTGACTTAACTTCTTTGAGGCTTAGTTTCCTCATCCATAAAAGGAAGATAATACTCTTGACCTTAAAGTCCTATAAGGATATTAAATGAGATAATTATGTAAATTGTTTGGCACATAAGTACCTAACAAGTAGCCACTGTTATTATGAATATGAACAAAGGACAGCACCAAGCCAGGAACCCCAGGCTTGGCTAAGAAAAGGGATTTCCAGGGGCTGGGGATGTGGCTCAAGCGGTAGCGCGCTCGCCTGGCATGCGTGCAGCCCGGGTTGGATCCTCAGCACCACATACAAACAAAGATGTTGTGTCTGCCAAAAACTAAAAAATAAATATTAAGAAATTCTCTCTCTCTGTCTCTCAAAAAAAAAAAAAAAAAAAAAAGGGATTTCCCCCATCTTCAGCTGGCCCTGCCCTGGGGGAAAAAAGTTTCCCCAAGGAGGTGGAAATCCTGGTTGCACAGGAGTGAGTAGAAGTTGTTCAGGAACAGGCTGGTTTCTAACTCCAGGCCCTCCTCTTCCTCCTGCTACCTTTTCACACAGCTCATCCGGGTGCTTCAGTCAGCAGCCTTCCTGCCCAGCAAGCTTCTCTGTCAGGGCCTCTTCCTTCCTGTCCCCCTCTCGCCACCCCATCTGTCCCCTGACATTTCCCTTCCCTCCTTTGTCCACTGCCCTTGCCCTGCCCACAGCTCCCCCTCAGCTGCTGGCCCTTCCCTGGGCAGGGCTCTCATTGACTCCCTTCCTCCCCCTACAGGCCTGGCCCTGGACCGGCTGAGCGCACCTGACCCAGCCTGGATGGCGAGGCTGTCTTTGCCCCTCACCACCAATTACAGAGACAACGTGTTCTCCCCTGACGCTGCAGCCCTGGAGGAGCCAAGGACCTTCCAGACGTTCGGCAAGGAGGCAGGGCCTGAGCTGAGCCCCACGGGCACACGGCTGGCCAGCACCTTCCTCTCAGAGATGAGCTCGCTGCTGGAGATGCTGCTGGAGCAACGCTCCAGTGTGCCAGTGGAGGCTGCCTCTGAGGCCCTGCGGCGGCTCTCCGTCTGTGGAAGGACCCTCAGTCTAGACCTGGCCACCAGCGCGGCCTTGGGCACAGAAACACAGGGGGCCCAGGTGGAAAGAAAAGGGCTGAGGGCAGGACCAGTGGCGGCAAGTGCCCGGGAACACACCTTGGAGGCCTCCATATCTAAGAACCAGGTCCCCTAGGAGATGTGAGCAGAAGCCTTACAGATCGGGCCACGTGATCTGGTTCTAAAATCTTGGAACTCACCAACCAGAGGTAGCCCCAGAACTTTAGGGTGACTGATGTGGCCCCCATAGAGGGGTATGATCAAAGCAACCCCTTGTAAGGCGCTCTGTGAGTTTTTGGAGAACAGGGACAGTTTGTGGCTGAGGTGTTTGCTGGCAAAACACATATAAAGGATTGGTTCTTCAGGCAGAACGGAAGCTATGGAGTATCACAAGCAGGAAGATGGCCTTGTTGGCTACTGGAAGAAGGGCTGGATCCTAGAGCAACAAGCAATGCTCTCTGACCTACCAACAAAGGAAAGGTAGCTGCACATTCTCCTGTGTGCACCTATTGAGAGGGAGGAGGGAAGGGTGACAGAGCAAGTGTTCTTTGTCATCCAATCACTGGCAAAAAAAAGTCATTGGGTCTAGACAGGAGTGAGCCACTTTGGTTCACAGTGACAGGTATGCAGATGATGGATGTGCGTGTTCTTGACCACGCTTCACTTTTATCAAATAATCTGCTTCTCAGCTGGAAAACTAAGACTAAGAAAAGCACAGCTATAAATAGAGCACTTATATGAGCCAAGCACCGGCTTAACAATAGGATTTAATTGGATTTTCCTACAACCCTGGGAGGGAAGTATGATATCCCCATTTCATAGACAAGGATACAAAACTTGGAGAGGTTGAGTGTCTTTCCCAACATCAAGCCAGGAGTAGAGGCAGAGCCAGGATTTGGACCCAGGTTGGTCCAACACCAAAATCATGCCCTTAAATTTGGCACTAGACTGCCAGTCAAAGGAAAGAAAAAGAAAAGCCCTAGAGGTGGACAGTGGACTCGCCCGGTTCCCCCTGCAAAAATGCTCTTGAAATGGACACTTCCAAAGTCACTCAGGCTCACACTACTCTGCACTAGTAAGCACAGGGGGAAAGGAAATCGGATCTGACCTGACGCAGGTCCTGCCTTTCCCAGTGAGTAGCCTTTCAGGTGCTGAAGTCTTCTTACCTGACCCCTGTTTGAGGGTAAATCTTCCTCTGTCATAGCAGGTTCAGGCCTGTGAATTCAGGCCCCAGAGGACTGTATGTGAACTTGGTCTATGAAATCGACACTGACAGCAGCCAACCTTCTGGGGAAGGAGGGAGTGAAGAAAGAACAAATATTTTCCCAAGGCTCAGCCTTATAATTTTCTAGGAAATTTCTAAACAGTCACAGCTAGTTTATGAATAGCATGGGGGCCCTCTCGGACCCCGAAGGCAGAAGATTCTCTATCTATTCTTCCTTTTGTCCTCTTTTGGAACTCGGTGCTCATGTCCATTGTATACAGAAATGGGCCAATCATACTCCCAACTAGGGATAATGAAGCCATATATATCTGGGATGCCATGTGGCGTCATTATTCCATTTTATAGATGAGGAAAATGAGGCCCCCAAAAGTTAAGTGTCTCAGGGACAGAGAAGCTGGGGTCTCTGATCACCTCTCTCTGGGCCAGAGTGATCTCCTTACGGGAGCTGTGATATTCAAGCTGCTTCATGGAGTAGATGGGTTCTGCAGGTCACTGAAAGAGGCCAGGAGGTCTCCTGCTGACCATCCAGGTGCCTGACACAAAGAGATACTTCACAAATACCTGTTGAATGGATGCATGAATGAATGAATAAATTGGTAAAACAAATGCTTCAGAGTCCTCTCTTATCTAGACTGGAACTCTAGGTAGAACTGCACTGGAAAAAAAATCCAAAAATGTTTAATTATGTAAAAGCAAAGTCCAAAAATGACAGAACTAGAGAAGCCCACATTGATCCACTCGCTCCTGGTAGATCTGCAGCTGGGAGGGTGGAGAAAAGAGGAGACTGGGGGAGGAGGCTAGACCACAGCTGCAACTGGCTCACTGCATACTCAGGATGACTGCATCCATCACTCTAGTTCAAAAGCTCTCAAACTGTAGTCCTTGGACCCCTGAATACCAGAAAAATTTTTATATAGGCATTTTTCTAGGCAAAAGGCATAAAGTTCTTATCAGATTCCCAAGGGAGCTTGTGATCTATAAAAGGTTATGTCTAAACCTCCAGACAAGGGCCATTGTCGTCATAAGGAGTCTGAACTTTAGCTATTTCAACTCTTCATTTTACATCCAAGGTTATAAAAAGACAGAAATGGAAGAAAACTTGCCCAAGGCCACATGGCAGAGCTGGGATCAGGATCTGGGACTTTGTATAGTGTTCTTTCTAATATATCAAGGGTTCTTAACCTGGGGTCCTTGGCTGGCTTCAGGACACATGAACCTGAAAAACTGCACTCAAAATTGGGAGCATATCCATTTTTCTTTGGAAATAGTAGATGCTTTCATTAGATTTCCAAAGGGGTCTATGACTGAAAAAAGATTAAGGGCTGGGCATGGTGGCCCAAGTCAGTTATCCTAGATGTTTGGAAGGCTGAGGCAGGAGGATCCTAAGTTCGAGGCCAACCTGGACAACTTAGCAAGACTCCATCCCAAATTAAAAATAAAAAGGGCTGAGGATGTAGCTAAGAGGTACAGCACATTGCAAGGACCACAAAAAAAAAATAAGTAAATAAACAAAAAAGACTGTATAGCCAGAGGAATGAGAAGTTGTGCTCCATTTGTGTACAATGTGTCAAAATGCATTCTACTGTCATGTATAATTAAATAGAACAAATTTTTTTTTAAAAAAAAGAAAAGAGAATTTAAAAAATAAAAAACAATAAAAACCACTGCAATCCTCCAGGTTGATCCTTAGCAGAACCCAGAGAGTGAGACAGTGTATATGATGACAGAATTGGGTGTGCTGAACAGGAAGGTTACCGAAACTTCTTGACATCAGCCAAGATGTCAAAGATGAGATTTTGGACATGCTCAAAACAATTTTAACCAAGATGGGCTCTGTCCCCTGGGAGGAAGAGGGAGCAGGCGAGCCAGCTAGTACTCAGTTAAATGTCTTCTTAATTTGGAAAGCACAGAGGGACACTTTTTATCAATAGTCAGCCTTTCTCCAGCATCAGGAATGCAATGCAGTGCTTGCTTGGAGCCTGCGGGCAGCTCACAGATTGACAGGCAGCCTCCTTGTTTGTCACCCAACTTCAGCTAGGCAGCTCACTGACCCTACCTCTGCTCCGGCTGAAACAACAGAGATGAAAAACACTTCCCTTGGAACTCTAGAGAAAACCAAATCCCCAAAAGAAGATAGGAACAGGGTGGAAGGAGACTTAGCACAGGATCAGCTCAGCATATAGTATGTACCTAGAAAATAGGACAGTGTTTTCTAGTCCCTACTAAATAGAGTCTAATGTAATGAAAGGGCACAATTAGAAATATTTACCCATCAAACATTTTGTATTTACTGGGCAATTTCTAAGTGCTATAAGTAGCAAAGAATCAACAGTGAAAGGGCATGTGAAATCATTCATCCATCATATTCAACAACTGTTTAAAGCACTTACTATGTGCTAGGTAGGCTTGGTGCTGGGCTTTGGGTAGAGAGGGGATGTATATAATCATTCTCATTTTATGAATAAACATTTACTGAACTAAGTGCCTACACTGTATTAGCACTGAAGATCTAATGAAGCAAATGGCCTTGTTCCCACCAGTGTTGGGGCTTCCTGGAAAGAGCATCTCTAGAGAGAGAAACTGAGGCAGTAGAGCTTTGCTCAAAGGTCTCATGACTGAAGTCAGCAGACCCCAATCAGGTGCTTTAGCATCCTCAGCCAGGCTGGCCCTGCTATGGGGCCACCTCCCTGTTCTCCTCTTGCATTTCCTCTCAGGGCACTGAGTCATTAATAACAGAATTTTAATGGCAGAAGCACAGCCGTTCCAGGGTCTGCCCATGAAGCCTATCCCCTGGGGCTGTATCAAGACCGCAGTCACTGCACAGCCACAGTTTTTGGTCCCCTGACAACATCTCTTATGACTTCCACCCTTCCCTCTCCACAGGGAGAGGCTCTTCCTTCTTAGATTGGTGAGCTCAGAAACATCCCACCCCACCTCAGGCATTGCAAACCGAGTCTGTTTAACTCAGCAGTGACTGGGCGGGAGGAGAGCAGCATTAGCCATCATTACAGGACACTGGGGGTCCACTGTCTGAACCACATACAGCCCTCAGGCACGGTCAGGGGAAGCAGAAGTCAGAGAGCCCAAAAATCCCCAGAGGGGAAGAAGCTAGCAAGCAGGGCTGCAGGGAGGGTAGATGGTGACATTTTCGAGGGTGCTCAGGAAGGACAACCTAAGGGAGGCAGGCTCTGTGCTCACATCAGCGAGGAACACACTGGGTTAACCACATTCTTACAGCAGGACTTCTTGGAACCTGGAATATGCTGATGTGTACTGTGAATCTATAAAAAGGGGACGTCTAATGCAGCGTTTCCCAAACTTATTTGACCACAGAAACCTTTTTTTTCTTTCTTTTTGGCAGAGAGATTAGCGCACTGCTTGGCTTAGAACTCTGCACGTGGAGCCTGTACCTTGTGCAGAGCACTGCCCTAAGTTCTGGAATACCAAGGAGCACTGTGTAGGGGAGGTGGCCATGTGAGAAGGGATGAGGATAATATGCAGGCAGCTTCGAGCAGGGATCAAGGGGTAGGGAGGCACTGGGGCTCCAATAGTCAACGTGGTATTGGAAAAGTGTGACAGAGACCACTCAGAGGTTGGGGAAGTGGGGGTAGGCAGCAGAGGGAAAAGTAGACAACTCCCCCTCCAAGTTAAACTGGCCAGGCTGGCTGCTCTTTCCCATTCAAGCCGTCATCAGAGGCTGGTCCTAATTCCCTCCACCCCTTACCCTCAACCACATCTATGCTATTGAACTTGGGCTAACATCCAGAAGCCAGGGAACAGCTATTCACAAATTCAGTAATTGGAGTCATTAGCGTTGACTCAGAAATCATTTTTTTTCCTTAAGTCTCTCTCTTGGAGAAGCTTTTAAGACCCTTTAAATTGGTTAATGGAGAGTTTAGAGATGAGGATGGAGCCTTGGCTTTCAGCTCCCCCTGACCGTCTCCCTGGCCCTCCCCAACACATTCAAGAGAAAGACTGATGAGATAATCCACCATCTGCTTTATTAAGCACCCATACATTTCTGGCTCACCTTTCCCAATCGAGGACTCACAATCTACACTCTCTGGCTCCAAGTGCCCAATCTCCATTTATTCTCTCACAGCGGTAGGGCCATAATAATGCTTTCACGTAAAGTGACAGTGTAGACTAGTAGAACGTAAGGCTGGGCGGGGAGTCAGAAGGCTAAGTTCTCATACTGGCCTGGTGACGCATAAAGCCACTCAACCACGGGCATCACCTTGCCTCTGGGGTCTCAGCAAGAACCCAGGTCCTTTCCACAGTAAAACACCTGTGCTTCAGCCTGTAAGGTAGGAGGCAGGGCACACACTGCTGCTCTTGCTCTACAATTCAGGAGACAATGTCAGCAAGTCAGTCCACTGCTTCAAGATGACATGGCCAGGCAAGCAGTCTGAGCCAGAACCTGGGTTCTTCGCACACTTTCTTCTTCTTACGGTGCTGGGAGCTGCTCAGGGTTGGGGGGAAGGTGAGTGAATAACTGGCCTCTTCTTTGGGACTCTAGCTTTGATATCTCTGAGCATTGACAGGTTCCCTCTTCAGGGCTGAGGTGAGGACTGAAGAAGCCAAGCAGATCCACGTCGGCATTTAGGCAGGCAAGAAACTCCTTCTGCCCAAACCAAATGTGAAAGGAGAACCATGACAAATCCATTGGGGATGAACAAAGACCAGTGTTGGAGCTAGTCCCAGGGATGTCCTGATGTGTCGTTTCCCAAGTATTAGCCACTCATAGCACCACCCCCATAATTTTTGCCAGCTCTTTGGATCTCTATTCGTTTAAATTGACCTCTCCCCCTTTTGAAGTTAGCTTTATAAATATCTGTAAAAACTATGGATCAATATGACATCATCTTTTATATTATACATTAACTATATAACTACTAAAATCCTCCTGTGCATCACTAGAGTCACACAATTCAGATGATGGCCAGAGATGGTGCAGTATAAGTGTGAGGAAAATTCGGCATGGGATGGAGAAGGTGAGGGACTGGCTCAGAGACAGGCTAAGGTGAGGAGCAGGGTCCCTGGAATCTCCAGTGGATTTTCACAAGTCACTGAATGCATCCTTTTGGTGAACGGATCAGAAATGACTGAGAACAGAATGCTCATTCATGAGGCTACCAAGTGAGGGGAAAGGTCAAAGTCATTGATTAACCATGCATTTGATAAAGTTGGGGACCTGGCTCCCTCTGGGGAAAGGGACTTTGACACCCTATTTTTATCATCCAGCCTCCTGTTCCTCACCCCCAGGCCCTTAAGTAACTGTGTTTGATCTCACCTTAGCCAAAACCCAGTCTTACAAGACTCCTTTCCAACGTGGGAAGAACCCTGCTGGAGGCTCCATGGCTGGATCCAAAATGCCCACTTCTGCAGAGGAGGCCAAGGTTCCCTGTGCTGGAGGCATGAGGGAGGCCTGAGGCACCTGCCAGCAGAGTGTTCAGGCTGCAGAGGGAGGGGCTGGAGAAAGATTTCGGTGCTGCTGGGTGGCTGGGCCCTGGGGCTACAAGAAGGGGTAAGAGCAAGGCTTACTCACCCGGTATTCTCCAGTATTCTCCGACTCCTATTTTGGAGCAAGAACTTTTTAAAGGACTTGGTTCCCCTGGCACTGTTAACCCAGCCCCGCTCTAGTGACTCACGAGTGAGCAGGACTCCCAGAGCCCAAGAAGGGTAATTCAATAGCCTCAGGGCACTGGCTCTCCAGAGAAGCCTTCAGAGCAGCCACCATTTGTTCAATAGCTACTGTGTATCAGGCTGTGCTAAGCCCTTTATCATCATCTCATTTAATCCTTACAAGCTAATGAGTGAGGTACTATCACCCTGATTTTCAGAGGTGAAGAAACAGGCTGAAAGACATGGAGACCCAGTTCAGTACAAGGAGAGGTTAACACTCCAAGAGCTGTGCTCTTAACCACCATTGAGGCCGGACATGACAAGAAGACTCTTGTCTGCCACAGGGTGGGTGCTGAGCTCAGTGGAGGAACCATCTGGCTTTGACTTTGTACCTGTTGTCTCTGTGGAAAAGAGGGTGCGCAGCCTCTCCTGGGCAGGCTTGTTTCCCAGAGCCGCTGACTGCTGGTAACATCTCACGGCTTCTCCCAGATTCCTCTGCACACCAAGGCCCTTCTCATAGCAAATTCCCAAGTGGTACCTGCTCTGTGAGTCCTAAAGGAGAAAATGGATAGACATACAGACACACGTGCAGGACTGAAAAACTGTAAGGCTCAGCCAGGAGGTGGAGTCAGGCATGCTGGGGCTTCACCCACGCAGGGTCAAGGGCCAGCCCGGGCCCACCCCATTCCAAGGGATCTCAACCATGAAATGCCAGAGGCCCAGAGCCTGCCCAGCCTAGAGAAGACTGGATCCCTCCACCCAGGAGATTCCAGACAGAGTGGTGAGGAGGCTTCTTTTGCTGAGGCTGCCTGAAAGAAGACTGCAGCCCTTATGGGAAACCTGGGAGTCAGGCTCCTGCATTCTCCTGAAAGAGCAGAAGGCAGTGATGGAAGATCAGCTTCCCAAAGGCCCTGTGTGCCCTCCTGAGTCTCTGCCCAAGAGGTCTGCGGAGCAGAAACGACAGAGTTTAGAAACAGGCTGAAAGACATGGAGTTTAGCTCTGAGTCCTCTCTCCTGAGGACAATGCTCCTCAAAGGCAGAACAATTAGTGGTTACAAACCTGGCCTGTGCAGCCGGGTTCTAATCTTGACTCTACCACTTATCATCTGAGTAACCTAAGACATGTTACTCTACATCTCAGTGCCTCGGGTTCCTCACCTATAAAGTGGAGTTTAGTAACTGTACTACCTTATTAGTTTGCTATGTTACTCTGTGAAAAGTGCTTAGATGAGTGCTGTTATTATTATCATCCCCTTTAATTGCCCACATCATTCATCCCTCCCTATTAGAATATTTTCATCATATCCCAAGTTAAAATAAGACACCTTGTAGACTCCCAACTATGGTCCCATTTCTCTTTTATCCTCTGCAGTCATTTTGTTGCTACACATTATGCCCCCACTTCTGTTATACACAGGCCAAAGTCTCGGCAACAGAGTAGCTTTGGGGCTACAAGCCAGGTTAGAACACAGCGTGGGCTTAAGTAAGCTAAGCACCCACCCCAGCAACACTGAAAACCCAAGGAGACACCATTCCCTGTAGGTGGGAAAAGGGTGAGGTCAGTATCCCAACTGACCATATGGATGACAGACATCCTTTGTACACTTTTCTTCTTGGTCTGCTGTCTGACTCTAGCCAGCCAGGGTGCCCCCAGGTGTGCCCAGCACATGGACTGCAGGCCCACTTAGCCTGAAGAAGGTTGGGGGGGGGGGGTGGCTCTTGCAAGGAAAAGCAGACATAGTGCCAGGTAATGGCTGGGGACACTGGTCCCCTTTTGATACTTACTATATATACTTTGAACAACACAGAGTGGACAAGAAAAAGTATTCTAATGTCTAAGAGTTCAGTAAAGCTATCAGGGTATTGAAAAGAATTTGGTGTTTCATAATGACATAAAGCTTTAAGATTTCCTGCATTAAAAGTAGCTGTTATAGCTCAGTACATCCCAAACCCAACTAACTATTTATTCCCTTGTAATATTTGGAAACATCCCATGGAACTACTTACTGCTCTATTGAACAAACTCTGGACTAGCACACCTGAATGCCAAGGCCCCCAGTTCATAGAAAACCAGAAATTCCTTTTCCCACAAAGTGCTCAGTGTGTCCACCAGGTGTATCTGACTCCTGGCGACTACCACAACTTGCACAGATGCACTCATCATGGGAATAGCTTACAAAGCATCCTCATATCTGTTACTGCGGTTAGATTTTGATTCTTTCAACAACCCTGTGAAGTTGTAGACAGGTGAGGAAGGCACCATTATATTAGTTTTAAAGATGGGTAAACAGGTTTGAGTCGAGAAGTGAGTGGCTCAGTAATGTGCTAATAAATGTTCAACAACTGGATGGGCAGGAAGGAATCCTACTTTGCAGCATTCAGCAAGGTGTGTCAGTAAATATTGCCCCCAGGGCTGATTTTCACCTGCAGCATAGCACTGGACCTGCCCGGTGGTCACAGAACAAGTACACCAGAGCTAAGGCTTAGAGCCAAGCCAAAGCTCCTTGCAAACAATTTTGTAAGCACAGAACTCAGTACCAGTTCCCAAACCCCTTCTCTGATCAGGCTCAATATCCCAACATGTCTGGCTTCCAGAGATCTCATACCCCATTGTTGGCTGCAAGCCAAAGATATTTCACAGCTCTCTGCTCATCCAGGTGTGGCTCCTTGGTGAAAAGCACCCCGAGGAAAGCCTGGGCCTACAGACAAGGAGAAAGGAAGATGACATCTTGGTCACTTTAGAGGATCCACATGCTCCAGACAGTTAGGATAGACCCTGCTAATGGCACTCACCTCTCTCAATCCCGAGTCTGCAGCTTGCTTCAGCATGGACACTGCCCTCTGCCGCTCAGGGTCTTGTGAGGAGGCTGGGTCTTGCAGTAGGCACCTGGCATAGCGGTATTGAGCCAGGCTATGGCCCTGGCTGGCAGCCAGTTGGTAATAAAGAATTGCCTGGGGCAAAGGGAGAAATATCCAGTCTGCTGGTAACTCTATAAGCACCTTATTCTTTGAGTGAAATTTTCAAAAAAATCATTTAAATAATACATAGTCATTATAGATTAGTCAGATAAGCCAAAACTTAAAAATAGAAACTAAAATCCTGAGAAATCCTGCCTCCAAAAGATCATTCTCTGTTAAATTATTGTTTTGGTTTTTTTTTTGCAGACCACGGATTGAATTCAGGGGCACTCAACCACTGAGCCTCATCCCCAGCCCTATTTTGTATTTTATTTAGAGACAGGGTCTGAACTGCTACCTTTTGCTGAGCCTGGCTTTGAACTTGTGATCCTGCCTCAATCCCAGAGCTGCTGGGATTACAGGTGTGCACCACGATACCCGGCTCTCTGTTAAAATTTTAGTATATAGGTTTGAAGATTTCTTCCCATAGATGTGTATTACATATGCACACACAAACAGAAGGAGAGGGGGAGAGAGAGAGACAAGAGATATGAGAAAGAGAGAGTGAGAGAGAGAAAATAGTATCATACTACTTATTTTATAACCTTTTACTTAGCAAGACACTATGAATATATTTCCCTGTCAATAAATATCGATCTATCACATCATTGGTAAGGCCCATAGATTTAATTTGCCAGTTCTCAATGAAAGAATTTTAAGATGATTTCCCCTTTCTTGCCTACATATACAATTAAAAGAAACACATTCATGTTTATTTTTGTGTACTTATCTTTTTTAGAATGATCCCATTTTTTAAGGGCTGTTTTGGGCTCTTGAGGGTATAGGTACAAGGAAGAAAAGCAAGATCCCTGTCCTGCCAGAGCTTTGAGTCTAAATTCCTGGAAGTTAGGAGCTTCTTTTTTAAATTTTTTTCTTTACAGCGAGCTGCAACCAAGTCAGGAAAAGAAGCTGGACTTTCCCTCATCCCTGCCAACTACTCATTTCTGGAGATCATGCTGGGCAGCTCAGCACAGGAGACAGGACAGGTCTGGAGGCAGAAGGGACAGTACCTTGTTGAGGTCCCTGGGGGTGCCTCTGCCATGCTCGTGACACAAGCCCACGTTGTACTGTGCTTTGCTGTAGCCATGGTCTGCAGCTTTCTGGAAGTAAGAAAAGGCTGCTATGTAGTCCCCATTCCTCATATTCTCTATCCCTATAAAAAAGCACAGGGCATAAACACAACTTCCTCTGTGAAATGTCCTACATTCTCAACCAGACACACTCGGCTCCCTACCGCATCTCAGGCTCGCTCTTCTTTGTGCTACACATCAGCATATGTTTCCATCTTCCAATTTCTCATTGGTTTACCATAGACAACAGTGGGTTCGGCCCTCCCATAAACCATCCCTCCCTTTGGTAATAACATTCTGATTTCCCTTTAGGAACAATGCTGTCTATGTACCCGTGCATGAGACACTCTCAGGAATCTGAATCTTGATCAGGTTGGGATAAGGAGGGGAGAGAGCTCTTGTAAGTTTATTCTGATAGCAGCTGTGGAGATACTGTCTATTGGTTGCGGCCCCTTGGGTCTTTGGAGTTTCCCTGATTCCTGTCCTGAGGCTTGGCAGGTCAAAATTTTCCTTTTGGCCTTATGTGAGCCAGAGTGGATTTAAATAGCTTATAACCAATGAGCCACACCTGACACAAGTGACACTTCTTATCTTATAGTAATGAAGCCAGCCAATACCTGCACGCAGGTGCATCCAAACTCAAACTCACACATCACCCAAACAAAAAGGAAATAGGAAAGGAGTAGGGAATAGCCAATTCTCAACTTTGCTCAAACTGTTTCCTGCCTGGGACCCCTCGGTCCACCTCCACCATCAGGCCTCCCGTCTCATTGCTGTTCTAGAATCTTCTGACCACACTCAGGCTTTACACAATTTTTTGGCACTTTACTAATATACCAAATTTTTCCCTATAAAATAAACTGCTTTAAGAATACAAGTCCTGTCTCCTCAATTAGATTGCAAAATCCTAGAGGCAGAGCAGGAAAAAAAAAGAATGTAGGAGAATAACTTTGCATAGGGTGAAAGCTCTATACAAATGCAAAATATGATTATAGCTTATGCTGCTTTTGTGTTCTGCCACAGTGCTTAGCACTTGCTGAATAAATGAATATATGAATGAAGGAATGGGCAAGAAAATTCTGAGACTGCCCATCAAGATCACAAAAAACTAATGAGGGAGAAACCAGGTTTCATTCAGCCAGCAGTGAATTAAGGTTGCCTCCCCGCTGCCTGACAACTCACTGTCCAAGGTTCACAGAGCCCTCTGTCCTTAGGGAGAGGACTTGAGGGGACAAAGGAGCCCACCCTGTCACCAGTCCCCACACTGGCTCCATCAGTAACCCTGATCCTTCTACTCTTCTCATTTCCTCTTCCTTTAACCTTGTGTTTTAACTATTTTCTCATACTTAAAGAATTTTCAGGGAAGCACATGGTCATTCAGCTGCCTGACAGGTGTGGCCTACACTCTGGATCATACAACTCCCTACAAGGTCATGTCCTTAAAGGGAAGGAGTGGTCCTTCAGCTTTTCCTACCTTCCCCCTTCCAGTGACTTAATCCATGGATCAGAAGGTAGCAGCCAGAATAGCCAAACTGAACCTCAGGATGAGAGGTAGTTTTAAGAATGTCAGAGCACATGTGAACATGAATGGGTCCCTGACATCACTGAGCAGGTCCTAGATTGGTCTACCTACCTGGGAGAAAATTACATCTCTTGTCTAAACCACTTCCGACCCTGACTGTATTCCACCTACCAAATACCCCTTCCATTGTCCCACCCTCCTGCAGGGTCTCTCCAGTTACCCAGGAAGTTGAAAGCGATGGAAACACTGAGCTGGAAGAGCTGCTGAATGGACATCACGGCCTCCTCAAGGGGGAGAGGTTTTGACTTATCTTGTTCCTGGGGAAGAAATATCCAGATGCATCAGAAGATGGCTCATTGGGATGGCCCTTCCCCCAGAGAATGCTGTGAGGATCCAGGTGGCCAAAATTAGATAATACCTTCTTTTCACAAGTGGGCTGAGGCTGGGCTGGCTTTGTCTTGGGCTCAAAGCTACTGCTGTCATACAGGAAATCAAACTTACTGGGACCTGCAAGGGAAAGATACCCAGCCAGTGTGAGGGAGAAGACTGCTACTTCCTTTACCCTCCCAGTCTGCCCAGCCTCTCCGTCCAGCACCCATCCAGGGTTCAAAAATAACTGAATCATCCCAGAAAGCAAGAAACTTCACAGGAATGACAATTCCCTTATCTGGCAATATACAGCAACAAGCACCCATCTGCCCAGCTCCCCCTAAGCCACCCTCTACCCATTTAAGGAGGTGAGAATATACCTTCCTCAGGAGGCTCCTGAAGACCAGTTGTTCTCAAGGAGCTAGGCAAGGAAAAGTTTCCGAACTGAGCCGAGAGTTCTTCCTGGCCCAGCCTGGGTTCCCTGAGGCCAATACATCTGGGAACTGGGCCATCAGGACCAGGGAGAACATGTCTCCTTAGTGCTGGAAAGAGTCAGCAAGAACAGTCAGGTCAGAGGGGAAAGCTCAGATTGACAGAGTCCTCCCTGAGGTTTTAGGAGTCAGAGGAAGAATTCTGAAACTCCTGGGACATCTCCTTCCCATTTTTCCTTCTGCATTTCCTTTCTGGACTCCCTCCAGGACCCATATTTATGCTGATCTTCCATCCGGAGCATAAATCACTCCTCTGCTTGAATTATTTCAGTATCAGGGAAGTATTGACCTATTCACAGTGTAGCCCCAGCACCTAGCACCTTTGTTTAATGGCAATGTTGGTAATGATTATAAGCATAATAAGAGCAAGAATTTAAACTGATAATTACCAAGCACTTATTATATGCTAGGCATTGGTCTAAGTCCTTGACATATATTAGCTCATTTAGTGTTCCTAAGTAACCTCTACAATGGAATTTATTATTATTACACCATTTTCTAAAGAAAGAAACTGAAACATGGGAAAGTAAAAAGTGGCTTGTTCAGAGACACAGGGCTATATGCATAGAACTGGGGCGTGAACCCTTATAATCTGACTTCAGAGCCTCAACCACTAGGCTATATGGCTTCTGTACCATGGCACATAATACATACTCAATAAAGATTCACTTCATGGATGAGTGACAGAATGACTGACCAGAGAATCACCTAACTTGCTGAGGGTCAGGCAGGAAGCCACACCCAGGATTCTAAAGGACTCTGGACTTGGGAGCTCCATGGGAGGTGATGGGAGGACAGGGAGGGACACAGAAGGGCAGGTGTGGCCCACACCCTGGGTGGACAGAACTTCCCCACATTCCCCTTCCTCTGACTTCAGATAGGAAAGGCAAGGAGCTGCCGATGGCTCTTTTCCTAAGGTGTGTCCAGAGAGCTTCCTGGCCTAGAGAAACTCCCAGCATAGCCCCCCTCCTGCTCCAGGACTGAGAACTCACAGGAGTGCGGGTGCCACCAGGGAGAAGAGAGGAAACGATCCAGGGGACTGTGCCAAGAGCAGCGTTCTGCTCGTCGAGGTCCTGCTGGCAGGGATGCCTGGAAGTGAATCTGCCTCGCCAGCTGCAGGGCCAGCACGGCCAGAGTGCCCTGGGAAAGAGCACATCAGGACATGGTCCCCCACCAGTCAACTCCTTCAGAGCTGGCCTTCAGCTCCCCCATCATTTCCTCGGGAAGCCTTTCCTGACTCCCGCTGGGCAGCTCCCCTGCTCACAACATGCAAACTTTTCCTCTTGTACTTAATAAGCATCACTACAATTACTCATCTAACGTCTGTTGCTCCTGTTAGCATAACAAAGGCAGGGACTGTACATGCTTTGCTCACCAATGTATCCCTGGTTCCCAGCACAGTGCTAAGCTATAGTATGGGCCTAATAAATGCACACTAAATAAATGCACAACTAGTAACTGAACAAAGAAAAATCTAGGCAAGCAAAAAGATGATGCAGTAAGTTGGAAATGATGCACATTTCCAGCTGCAGGCTTGTGGAAGGTGTCTCTTTCTCTGACAGGTCGGCAAAAGACCTGAGCTACCTCTTAACCCAGTGCCTGCTTGGTTTTCCCTGTCTCCACTCCTGTCATGCTCAGGGAGGGATGCCCAAACACTTGTCTGTTGCAATAGGTACTGTTTCTACCCTGGGGAAGCTTATATCTTGTATAAGAAAAAGAAATACAATAATTTGCAATTATGCTAGATGCCAAAAACAAAACAAATTGTGAGGTTACAAAGAATGTAAGAGGAAAGCCTGATAAGGAGTCATGAAAAGCCTTCCTATAGGGGTGATGTATGAACTAAGTTCAGAAGAAAGAGAAGGCAGCAGTACTGTGAAGAAAGGGACAAGTATCCATCGCACTGGGGACAGCTTGTATGTAGGCCCTTTCATATGGACAGTAGTACAGAGCCCAGTGATGATATAAGGCCCTCTGGAATCCAGGCCTAGTTCACAAAAGGACTTGGTGTGGAACTATACTAGGGCTCAGATCTTTGGCAAAATGGAAAAACGTTCCCCTCTCTAGGGTATATGCCCCTAGTCTTCAAAAACCCAGAGAATGGTATACCATCATAGAAATATCCCAGACTCAGCTGATGACACCAATTTACAGGTTTAAAAAAAAAAAAAAAAAAAAATGAGGGGCTGGGGTTATGGCTCAGTGGTAGAGCGCTTGCCTAGGCACTGGGTTCAATTACCAGCACCACATATAAATAAAGAACAAAATAAAGGTATATCAACATCTAAAAAAAATATTTTAAAAAAAATGAGGCTCAAAGAGGTCAAGTCAATTGCCTAAATGCACAGCATGAAAGTAGTGGGGATGGGATGTGATAGACACAAGTGATACATGTGTCAACTTCATTCACAATACCTTATAAGCTGAACCTCTACCTGAAAATTTGCCCAAAAGACAAAGGTTCTGCCCTATTATACTTAGTGTTTACTACAGAGCACCTAACTTTCTAGATTCTGTAGTAGGTACTTTCACAAGTCATTGTAGCTGAAGTGATACAGCCTGAACTCCAGAGTTAAATCTGGAGTAAATACAGTGACTTGGAAGGCTGAGACAGGAGAATTGTAAATGCAAGGCAGTTTCAGCAACTTAGTGAGATAGTGTCTCAAAACAAAAAATTAAAAGGGCTGGGAAGGGAGGTTGATGGTAAAGGACCCCTGGGTTCAATCCCCAATACAAAAAAAAAAAAAAAAAAAATTACATTTTTCTTTGTGTAAGACTTTTGCAATGATGTTAAACAAAATAACACATGTATAATAGTTTACATTAATATGTAATGATATTTATTATTATTTACTGTAAGATCCATGAAAGCAAGAATTATATCTACCTTGTTCTCTGCTATGTCCCCTAGTGCCAAGAAAAAATGCCTGGCTCAGAGGTTTTAGATAAATGTTTAATGAATAAAATGAGGGCTAAATACACACCAAGGGTACAGGGTGTGATACTACCTTCATGAATATACTCCAGTGTCATGGGTTCCTCATTGTGTAGACACAATGATGGCCTTGCTCTCCTTTCTAGACTTGGCTACTCTTCCATGCAGGATCATTCTCATCCATGCTGAAGGTAAAGGACAGGATTGGGGGATGCCTTACCCATGAGATGGCATCCCACAGGGTATTTGGGGAGACACGAGCAGACATCCACTGGAAGACATTCTTCCATCCATGGGACTTTGGGCCCCTGCTTGTACTCGGGCCATGGTGGCCTGACCTAGATGATATAATTAGAAACTATCAAGTTCTGTCCAAAACGGGGGCAAAGGAATGCCAGAGGAGAAGATGGGTGACAGAATGGCAGTGTCTCACCTGTCAAGGTTGGGCAAAGGGACCAACAAGGTGGAGGAGGTCGCTTGAGGCACATCTGAGCTGTTGGTCTTGGGGGTCACACCCCGGAGGTGAGGTCCCAACAGACGGGGAAGTGCTGTGCAGAGAAACAAGGATCAGTTACTTCAACAGGAACAAGACGGAAGCCAAGTGGCCCCAACAAAGTATTATCTCCGGAAACACAGGAATCACTGGCATCTGCCTCTACAGTGTTTTCTTATTTCTTTTTTTTTTTTTTCTTTTTTTTTTTTTTTTTCAGTGCTGGTGATTGAATTCAGGACCTCATCCATATTAAACAAGCAGTCTACCACTAGCCACATCCCCAGCCCTTGCACTGGTTCTCATGGAAATCTTTAGCCTAGTGGGGATTCTAAGGTGCCACCCCAGAAAAAAAAAAAGAAGGCTCTCAGGATGAGATAATAATAAATATCATAAATATAATAAGGAATACACTCTGAAAAAGTTCACCCAGGCGATTCTAATGCCCTCTATGGGTGACAACCTTTGCTCTATGACCACACATCCACACACTCTTGCCCAGTCTCTAAATCTCTCCTTTGTTCATTGGTTTCATTACTTCACAGCCTCTAGTTCTTTCATTGACTCCTCCCCTTCCTAGAGCTCCACCCATTTCCTTGGGTCTAAGCTCCGCCTTCTTCTCTAAGCTCTTCTAAGCTCCTTCTTCTTCTCACTTTACTGCACAACTCAAATTCCAACATCACCTGACTTCTTAGACGTAGCCCCGCCTCCTTAAGGCCCCGCCTTCCTCCAGTCTAGCCCCGCCCACTGTCGCTTTGGCAGTTTCCTTGCGCCCCTTTCCTCCAGTTCAGAGTCTCTGCGGCCTTTGGGCGCTAGCAGATGGGGTGCCCCTTACCTCGGCCCAGGAGACCCGTCAGTCGCCACATGTCGCCAGCACCATAGAGACCGCGCAGCCGAAAAAGCCAGGCCAAACCATGGGACAGCCGCTAGAGCGGCCGCTGTGGTGTCCCGAGTGGGGAAATCCCCACGCGACTCTTGAGCCGCCAATTAGAAAAGAGCTCCACCGGAAGGACGGCCCTCAGCGAGAGGAAGTGGAGGATGTGGGCGTATCTGGGGCCATTGGGGGGGGGGGTGAACCGCGACAAGGGCATGGGGGTGTGGGCCCGGGAAAGAGCTGTCATTTGCCACCCCCACTGGAGAGAGGACAGCGCGCCGACCCGGGGATCGCAGGTGGCCATTGAGGCAGGGCTGGAACGACTGCGGTGGAGCAAGAGGACCTTGTAGACACCGCGGAGCCGCCGAAGAGGAAAAGACTCCCCAGGCCCAAGGCTTAAGGAGGCCAAGTGGATCTAGGCCGGAGAAGAGCCTTAGGGCCCCACGGAAGAAGCTAGCAGTCCCAGCTTCCCGCTCGAGGCCATCGTTTAGCGATGCCAGGCCCCGACCCCACCGTAGCCATGAGAAATGCAGGGTTTCAATTCTTAGATTCTAGCTGTGGCTCAGCTTTGTCGCACTGTGTAACCTAAGGCCTACTCCTTCCCTTATCAGGGCCTCAGTCTGTGTACCACGATGGGGTCAGGTGGAATAGTCTCCCCTGGTTCTTCATGGTGTAACAGGCTGAGACTCTGATTTGCTCCTTTCAAAATCCCAAGAGCAGCCAGCCACATGCCCTGTTAATCAGAGCCCATGTCTGCAGACCCAGCCAATGTTAAGTGTGTTCTTTTGAGAGAAATAGCTCTCCTTTCACTATATTTGAATCCATTAAATAAAAGAGCTCAAATTAAAATGTAAGATGTTCAGACTTAGACTTCTTGTCCTCTTTCCCCCTTTTCGGTGAGTGTAAGTCTCTAGGGTGAGAGAGTACTGAAGGTAACTACTTTTAAACCCAGGCATGTGGTACAAAATTTATGTTCATTTGTTAAACAGTTTTTGAGCCAAAAGTCAGCTGCCATTCTAGGATCTGAGAAATCAGTTGAATAAGGAACTTCTGTGACCTTCAGGAATACATGATCCAGTGGATTAGAGTGGATGATGGAGTCCCACAAATCTGAGTTTGATTCCCAGCTTTCTCATTTTCTAGCTTTATTATATTGTGCAGGTTCCTTAATCACACCAAGCCTCTTCTTCTTCATCTATAAAATAGAGAAAGTAATACCTCATGCAATTGTTGTGAGGCTTAAATAAAATAAAAGTTCCTGGCATGTAGTAAGAGCCGAATCAATGTAAATTGCTATTATGGTTGTGGAGGAGGTGAGTAGGCAAATGTATTAGATAACATTGTAATAGAAGCATGAGCAATGGATTGTGGGATGTACCATGGAAAGATTCAGAAAAGTGGTTGCATTTGAGCTGGGCCTTTAAATATAAGTAAGAATTTATGAGGTAGAGATGAGAAAAAATAATTGTAAGCAGAAAAACTGTGAATAAAGGTCCAGGAGTTTGAATATTGGGGAACTATTCAGAAATAACTTGATTTGAAATTTGGGGCAGTTACCTTTCATATTCCTTGTGTTGGCTGCCTCAACAAGTTCTCTGGTTCAGCTGTGTTCTTCCTGGGACTTTGGTGCCCTTCCTTTCAACCTGTCTGTACTTGGCTTTCTTTTCCAAGGGTCAGCCCAATCCTCAACTGTTTGAGACCTCCCTGCTTTCTGCTTTTCCCATTCTTGTAGCACTTAATTTCTTACTACATGGTTTAGCAGTAATTACATGTTGTCCAGTTATTTAATGACCTCATTTGTGTAAGTCTAGTCTCCCCAGTTCTCCAGGGCAGAGATAGCATTTTCCTATTTTGTGTCCTATATGGGGCTGACATAAACTAAGTCCACAGAATATGTTCAAGCAATGCCTGTTGACGACCGGATACCTTGTGCTGATGGTGATATAGCCACGTGTACCAGAGCCCAATTATGGGATTTACTGATTTGAATGGAAATGTCTTCACTCCACATGCACACATTCATTCAGTGTTCTCTCTGTTTGAAGCTAGTTAAAAGGTTTTGAAAGAGAGGATCTGAGAAGACACATGTGTAAGGTGCTTGTTGCCATGTATAAAATGGCATTATGGCATCTTGATGCCAGAGAACAAGGGATAGATGTCAGGGGCAGCTGGCCTCCTCACTGGGATACCAGGAGCACTGTCAGGAATGTCAACTTTGTTTCCTTGAGCTTTGGATTTGCCTGAACTGCCCAGGCTCCAAACCATCAGCCATTCTCTTCTGTTCCCCAAACTGTGGTTGGATTGTGGCACAGAGTCAGGTTGATTCAATCCCTCTTCAAAGGTAAGCTATCTTACACTGGGAACCTATTGTCCAGGTACCCAGTTAATCACCTCTTGTGATAAATACTCGTGCTACTGTGTATTCAGTGAATGTTCTAGACTTTTGTTATTGCTTTCGTTTTTGTAGACATTCTTAGTTTGCATTAATCAAGTATATGAGAGCTTAATTCAGTGTTAGAGAATGTTCTGAATGTATAACAACTTTAAAAATGGCTGTGGTCCCTGCCCTCACAGAGAAAATAGTGTAGTGGGGCAAAGTCAGTAGGCAATTAAAATACAGAATGGTGTTTTATTTATTTATTGCAACACAACAAATAGTGCAACGATCATTTTATTAATCTCTCACAGTTCTGCAAGTTGACTGGGCTCAGCTGGGCAATTCTGCTAGTCTCTCTTGGGGTCTTAAGAGGTTGCAGTCAGATGGCAGCAGAAGCAGGAGTTGTATGTAGATAAGTGGTACACTGGAAAGACAGGGCCTCATTTTCTCTCCATGTAGTCTCAGGGCCTCTCTGCTCTACATGGCCTCTCCAGCTGGGTAGCAGAACTTACAGGATGGCTCAGAGCTTCCGAAATTACCAAAGTGGAAGCTGCCAGGCTCCTTAAAGCTTAAGCCTAGAACCAATATGGCATCACTTCTGTACTCTGTTGTTATAGCAGTTTACAAGGCCAGTTCAGAATCAAAGTGAGAATGAAAGACATAAGGTGGGAAGTTGGTTCTTTGGATACTACCAAATTCTACAGTGTGGGGAATGTACAGGTGCTATTGGAGTTGGGCACGGTGGCACACACCTGTAATCCCAGCAACTCAGGAGGCTGAGGCAGACAGATCTTGAATTTAAAGCCAACCTCAGCAACTTAGCTAGGCCCTGCCTCAAAATAAAATACAAAAAAGACTGGGATGTGGCTCAGTGGTAGAGTGCCCCTGGGTTCAATCCCCAGTACCAAAAAATAATCTTTCTCTCTCTCTCTCTCTCTCTCTCTCTCTCTCTCTCTCTCACACACACACACACACACACACACACACACACACACACACACACAGCACTATTGGAACAAGGAGAGACCCAGACCTAGGCATGGAAGTTGGGAAGACTCCGAAGCAGCTGCATCTACAATGACCAACCTGAATGGTGAGGATTAGGAACTAGCCAGGTGATGATGAAGGGAAGGTACAGTACAGGAAAAGGAAATAGCTGATGCAAAGTCCCAGGGAGACACAGAAAACACAGCTTCGCAAAGAAAGCACAACTTAAGATCACTGTGAGCCAGCCAGATTACACACCTGTAATCCCAGCGGCTAGGGCGGCTGAGACAGGAGGATCTCAAGTTTAAAGCCAGCCTCAGCAAAAGCAAGGTGCTGAGCTAAGACAGTGAGATCCTGTCTCTAAAATAAAGTACAAAATAGGGCTGGGGATGCGGCTCAGTGGTCAAGTGCCCCTGAGTTCAATCTCTTATTAAAAAAAAAAAAAAAAACAATTACTGTGGTTATAGGGGGTCAGGGTTGGCACGGGTGGGTTGGGGGCATAGAATAGTGACACTCCTTTCATCTGAAGAGGTATGGGGCCAGGTCATAAAGCCCTAGAGTTGTCTGGTCTTGGTCAGAGGGCAAGGAACACCTAGGAAGGGTTTTAGCAGAGGAGTAACCAGGCCAGAGGAACAAAGAAAGGCCTTTGGCTACTGTGTGGGGGACAGATTGGAGAGAGAAAGTCTTCATTTTCACTGTCTCTTCTAGGCCAGCAGCCTCACCTTCATCATTGAGAAGGCTGGGTCATCACCTCAGCACTGACTTGGGTTCTTTAAATGTTTTTTATTAGAGGGGATTTTTTTTTTATATAGGAATGCAAATTCCTTTATATAAATGTTTTGTTTTGTTTCATTTATTTTTAAAAGGACATGTAGAAAACCTGCTACCTGGCAGGGATCTGGACATGGGCTTGGTCAGACGGTCAAACAATTTATATTTAAGTGTGAAATGTGTTAAGGAAGAGCCTGCTGGTAGGGATCAGGGAGCATGCCAAGTTCAGTAGATTTGACCCCTCAGATGAAAAGATATATAAAATTTAAATTATCTTTTCATTACCAATGAAAAGATAATGTAGGGGAGGGCATAGAAGGTCATTGAAAGAGCTACTACTCCAGTAAGAAGTTAAATAGTACTAAAGGTTTATATCAAACCCAGCAGACTTTGGCTCCCTGCTCTCCAGTCTCTAGTTCTGCTCCCCAGAGGCAACCATTGTCAACCCTTTGAAGTGTCAGGAGGCAGAAGAGCAGAGGCTCTGAAACTGGCGTGTCTCACATCCAACGTAGCTCTCCTACCAACCAGCCAGGTTATCTTGGTCAAGTTAATTGTAATAGTTCCCTCAGTTTTCTCATCTGTAAGATGGAGCAGTGCAGTCAATGAATAGTAGCTGCATGTGATGATGATGATGATGATGATGATGGATGAGGACTAACTTGAGAGGTGCTGTGAGCGTACTCTGATGTTAGTCATATACTATACAAATAAATGTAAGGCCTGATTATGGCTTCGAGGAAATGACAAGGACGTGGACTCAGTTGGAGAGGTCTGAGTCTTCCCTTTCTTCTAAGGCCAAACACTGTTTATTCTCAGGCCCATTCCCTTCCTGTCTCTTGTAGAACCTTGTTGCTATTATTATCCTTTTCCTCATGCTAAAGCATACATCTCTTTACTAGATTTTTTTTCTTTCTGCCTATGAAATAGACCAGGGCTTACTTATCTTGGGTGA